TTCTCTACAAGAGGTCAAGGATGCGGTAGAACGTTGGACTAAAAGCACACCAAAGGAATTCTTTAATGATGGCCTTAGGAAGTTAGTCTCTCGTTGGAAAAAGTGTATTGCACTCCAGGGTGATTATATTGAAAAGTTAAGTGTAAATAATGATGAATAAATATGTTGATTGGGAAAAAATTCAAAATTCCTATTACTTTTCGAACACCCCTCGCATATTTAAATTTCATCATTAGCCTGAGGGTCAGGAGGTCCTGTTGGTGGCCAATTTAGGGTCACAGCGAAAAAAAGTTTTGGAACCACTGCTCTAGACCTATATGATCCTGACACAGGTGGCCTGTCAAGGAAAGTATATTATTCTCTGTAACAATGTGGGATTGAGTTGGTGTGGTTGATTGCATGTTCAAGGTATGGGCTTTGATGGTGGGCCGCATGGAGGAAGTAACCTTTCTCAGCAAATGGCTGGCATGACCTTGGGAAGCTCTGTAAGTACTCTTTGTATATTCCATCTCCCAGAATATGCAGATTCTTGTGTAGTTTGTAATTGGATCTCTATGATCATCATGTGTACTATATTGTGTGTTCATATGAGAAAGAGTCAATAGTTAATTAAAAATTTAATTGCATTGCACATGAAATGAAATAGGATAGGGTCCTGCGAAGTTAGACAAATACAACCCAGAATCTAGAGTTGTCTGCTGTGTTCTTGTGATTCTGGGAACTTCACTATTTTTAAGTAGGATGCATATCCTACTTGAAAAAAATACCTAATTGGTATGCCTACATACTAGGCATATCAATATTTGGAAAAATCAGGAACAAGATATTGGAATTAAATTGGCTCACCCAGGCCACATAAGTGGAAACAACGTGCTTGAAGCTATAACATATAAAGGAAGGTTGCAGTGCCTTGTCTCATAGTTACACTGGAAGCACTGACCCATTCCACCAAAGTCTTCATTTGGCCTAATTGTGTAAATGGAATGTCGTTCACAATGTCATGGGAATAAAAAGAAAGATAGCTATGGGGATTGCCCTTTCCTCTAATAGGAAGTGTCTTGGGATACAGTTTAAATTCTAATGGGATTCATGTGAGTCCTCAGTGTTTCATATTTACATGTTTTTCATCTTTGTCTTATCAGAATTCAAAACTAATACTCAATGAGCTTAAACTATTGCTATGCTTTGAGAGCTGTGATCCTTTCAGTAGAGATATGGATGGTAATCTGTGATAGCATGTTATGAATTGCAGATACCACAGCCTGGAGCTGCTATACATTCCCAGCCCACATCCACAATGGGTGGATTTGCTTCAAATCAAGTGAGACCTCAAGGTCCTCCACCATCCATGCAAGGAAAAGGAATGCCACTGCAGCCTCATGTCAATGGTTTTATGCCCCCTCAACAAGACCAGCCCAATCAGCTCCCACCTTCCATGGGTTCTGCCTCTATGTCTATGCAAAGCCAGCCTGGTTTCATGAATGGACCAATGCCACAGCCCCAGTATCCCATGCAACCTCCTCTTGGTCCATCTCAAGTTGGTCAGCAATATCAGCAGGTACAATTCTCACTTTGAAGCTGATGCTTATATTCGTGTTTGTGAATTATGTGTTATTGCATTTATTCAATATCATTGCTGTGCTTTGACTTGTTTTGTATTAATTCCATTGTGAAGAAAAGTCAAGAGACCTGGTGACTACTCATGATATCTTGCTCTAAGCATCTCCCTCCTCTTCCATTCCTCAGTTCCTAATTAAAAATTACAAAGTACAGTGCAAGTCTTTCTCTCTTTCTCTTTGTATCTCTGTCACATATTTATGGGGATGGAAAAGGGCATATGTTGCCTTTACCTTGGAGACCTTTTGTTTCACCTCTATGCATGAAACGGTTTTCCCTCTCATCTCACATTTTTTTGGAATCACTATTGAAATGGGAGTTTCCTACCAGTTCCTAGGTGATTTAACCTTGGACTTCTTTTTAAATTTGATCAGGATTTTCTTTTCAAAGGACCATATAGAAAGCTGAAATATTGAGTTTTATTGTTACATTGAGATGTAAATGCTTTTTGGGTATTGAAATTTGGGAGGTAGATTTTCTGGCTAGAGTTCCTCATTACAAGTAAGCTTGTAGTTATGAGATTATTCTGTGGAGTGTAGGTACACTTCCATGTAAATAGTAGCATCACTTTTGGTAGAGCATGTGCATTTAGCTTTCTGTGTCCAAAATATGAGTTAAGTTACATTTGTCTCTTCTTACAATGACAGCCAATGATGGGGGGAGGTGGATATATGGGCCCAACCCCTGGCCAAATGGCTCCAGGTTCAGCCCCAGCACCTGCTGCTGCTCCACGCCGTCTTGATCCCGATCAAATGCCCAATCCTGTCAGAAGATATCTCCATTGCTCTATATTGCTAGTTTTTACATGTTGGGTCTCTCAGCATTATATTTGCATGTAATTTTTCACAAACAGATACAAGTGATGGAAGATGACCAGAAGACACGTGGTGGTGTGTTTGTGACTGGTCAGAAAGGTCAGGTGCCTCCACTGGTTACAACTGAGTTTGTGGTACAGGATCAAGGCTTTGCATCGCCCCGATATATCCGTTCCTCTGTGTACCACGTTCCTGTTACGGCTGACATGCAGAAACAGACTGGGATCCCTATTGCTCTCTCACTCAGTCCATTCGCAATTGAAGGAGAGGGTGAGAGACCACCACCCATCACAGACATGGGCCCAATGGGACCAGTGCGGTGTAATCGCTGCAAGGCCTACATGTGTCCATTCATGCAGTTCATTGATGGTGGCAGAAGGTTTTCTTGCGTTTTCTGCAAGGCCACAACTGAGGGTATATTTGCTGATTTTCTATCTGCCTTTGTGAACATTCATATAGATGCTCATCATTGCCTTTTGTCACTGTAGTTCCAGCTGAGTATTTTCAGCATCTGTCTCACACTGGAGAACGCATAGACAAGTATCAGCGTGCTGAACTCTGCTTGGGTGCATATGAATTTATTGCTACTAAGGAATATTGCAAGGTGAATTGACCTAAATCCCTTACCCCCCAGGAATTGATATCACACCCATCTTGATCCCTATTTTGGTTGGATTTTATTCCTTACAGAATAACACATTCCCCAAGCCACCAGCTTTCATCTTTGTCCTGGATGTCAGTTACAACAACGTGCGTTCAGGTTTGGTGTCCCTCTTCTGTGCCAACATCAAGTCACTTCTCAGGGATCTCCCAAAGGATGCCGGAATGACTGAAGTTGAAACATCACCCATTCGAGTGGGCTTCATCACTTATGACCACTGTGTCCATTTCTACAACTGCAAGGTTCCCATGCTCTCCAGCTTTTTCTATCCTTCCAAGAAGAGTAAGAGAAATTTATGGTATTGTGTGCTTGTAATAGGCATCTTTAGGAGCTCCTCAGATGATGGTTGTGGGAGATGTTGGAGACATGTTCATGCCGTTGTTGGATGGGTTCCTAGTTGATCCCACTGAGTCTGCAGGTATCATTGATCAACTCCTGGAGCAGATCCCTGCCATGTTCAAAGATACAAGGAGCACAGAAACGATCCTTGGCCCTGCCATTCAGGCTGGCATGGAGTCTCTCAAGGTGGGTCCATTTTGACTTAGTTACCTTCATATATTATTATTAGACTTAATGATGTCATAATGCTCATTGATGGGGTTTTCCAGGCCAATGATTGCTGTGGAAAACTGTTTGTGTTCCACTCCTCTCTTCCAATTGGAGAGGCTCCAGGGAAACTGAAAAATCGTGATGACCGCAAACTTCTTGGGACAGAGAAGGAAAAGACCATTCTCAGTAAGTCAAGATAAAATCACCCTTCATGACCTTTCTGCTTCTGACTTAACTTTAAAAATAAAAAACAGTGGCTTTTCATAATCATCTCCCTCAATAAAAAAATGTCTCTTAACAGGACCATCTGCATTCGTTGGACAGTTAATTGCATTACCCTAGTAAGTCTCCTTTTGAGCTAAACAGTTGATTCTCTTCAGCTCCGCAGACACAGTTCTACAACACCCTGGGTCAGGAATGTGTCCAGGTGGGATGTAGTGTGGATCTTTTCATTTTCAACAATTCCTATGTGGATCTTGCAACAATTGGACAAGTGGCCAGGCTCACTGGAGGCACTGTCAACAAATACACCTACTTCCAGGTAGATATACTTTACCCTTTTGTGAGATGAAATTTTCTGGCATCATTTTTATTCTCTGTGTTTTCCAGTGATTTGATGTTCCACAATGCGTGAATTTACAGGCTGACATTGATGGTCAGAGATTCCAGCTGGATCTTCATCATGCCATCAGTCGACCTATAGCGTTTGATGCCGTAATGCGAGTTCGTACCTCTACTGGGGTCCGTCCGGTTGACTTCTTTGGCCAATTCTACATGTCTAACACCACTGACATTGAATTGGCTGCAATTGACTCAGACAAGGTGAAAGCATCTGTTTTGCTCTTTCAATGCATTCCTTGCCCTTTATTTAACACTGCAATTTGTTTCTTCTTGTAAAGGCTGTTTGTGTGGAGGTAAAACATGATGACAAATTGACTGATGAAGACACAGTTTATGTGCAAGTGGCGGTGTTATACACATCTTGTGGGGGGCAGAGACGCTTGCGCATTGTCAATCTTGCCTGTGGAGTTGCTACACAGATGGCTGATGTCTACCGTGCTGCCGAACTGGATACCATCATCAACTATCTTGCTAAGTCTGGTAAGTGTGGGCTCATTAGCAGATCTAATCTCTTTTTTCACCATTTTTCTTGTTCTTGGCTTTTATCTTATTGTTGGGATCACAGTACTTCGGCTCCTAAATGCCTATGGCTGAATTGGCTCTCTGGTGCTCTTTTGAGGGTGACTAAGACTAAACCAAAACTTGCATGATGCATTCAGCTCAGGAGTTTCATATTGGTTCAATTGTCACCCAGGAATATTCAAGGCTGCAATAGTCATTGTGCCTCTGGGATGACTATTGATAGGTCTGAATGTCGCACGACAGGGTATGACGCACCCAGAAACATCTTATTGCTTGATCCCAGTAGCCATTTTATCAATAGTCACCCCAGAAGTTGGCCTGCTACTGGCCATAGCGTATTTTTTGCATGGTGCTTTAAGGGCAGATCAGGAGCAGAACAAAGTGGTAAACAACTTAGGCAACGGAATTGAGAAAGCAGTACCTAGAACGTAATAACACTTGGCCGTAAGGAGGCAGAACTCATAGAAGAGGTTAGTTAACTTTTAATAGACATAATTGGCCTAGCATCGACTAAAAGAATCACTCTAGAACAGCAATTCCCAAACTTTCAACCTCTGCGTACCACTTGCCTCCAGGGTGCATATGTAGTGTACTACCGCTTGTCCCACGTGTGCATGTCCCACAAAGTGTATAAGGGGAGGTGGAAGGAACACTGACGAAACTGACACTGACCTTGAACCCACCGGACTGGGATGTACCCTGCTCAGAGCCTATCTGCGCGGATGATAATTTCACTGCAGAGGAAGTTCTTGGCTATCTTGAAGAATGGAAAGTTTCCTGGTGTGAATGAAATCCAGGCAGTAGTACTGAAAGCAGTGGGCACCGATGGTGCAGTGAACATCGGTGTGGTGCTTGCATGAGGTATGTTGAACTGCTTGGGAATTGGAAACGGCACCTATGAACCAATGGCAGACTGATGTAATGGTTCCTTTTTTTAAGAAGGGGGACTCAAGGGAATGTACCAATTACCATGGAATACCTCCGAATACCTGGTAAGGTCTTTGCAAAGGTGTTAGAGAAGAGGGCATTTGCAGTCATAGAAGCCATCCTAAAAGAGCAATGCAGTTTTTGCAAAGGGCGCAGCACCACTCACCAGCTCTAAACTCTTCACTGGATTCTCGAGAGACACTGGGAATATGCCAGAGGCTTACGTCTATTTACTTGATATCGAGAAGGCATACGACTGTGTACTTTGAGGGAAGCTGTGGTGAATGCTACAGGAATATGGGATTAACAGTCTGCTACTGCAAGCCATACAATCCTTCAACAGTGATTGCAGGTGCTGCGTTCAGGGATGAGTTTGGACTCGTTTCTGGTACATGTCTTTCCTGTTCCTTGTGTACATGGATAGGATCCGTTGGCACAGCTTGAGCCTCGATGGTGTCAGTATTGGCAGTATCGGAATAAAGATACTTCTCTTAGCAGCTGAAGCTGTCCTTTTGGCTTGGTGTAGGACGTGAAACTTGCTACCCTGATGAAACAACTACCGTAGTGAAAGTTGCGTGGGCTGAAACCACTGCCACAGTAAAAATCTGCATACATTGGATGCACTATTGTCACACAGGAATGGCTACCGTGAACTCAGAATGTTTGCAATGTGCTATAGGTTTTCAGCAACGCCTCCTCTGCTCAAAATTTGGATGAATTATCTCGCCGAGTAAAGAAAGTGGTCAAGGACATTCCCGAAAGCTATGTCCAAGAGCTTATGAGTGCTGTGCGAACTAAACTGCACCACTGGTGTGTATTCAGTTGAATGAAGTGGGTGTTCCATTGAGCAGTGTTTGTATTCTTATAATATCATACTCACCTTTATTCTTTTCTATGTGTAGATAATTGAGGTTGGTTAAATATTGGTATGGATACATAGTGGCAGTCCCTTACTAGGTTGTAACGAAAGTTTTTGTGCATAAATACAAAATTGATTTCAGCATCATTTTCTAAATAATTTTTTTTTGGTTTATATACGTATCATTTCGAAGTGCATTTTATGCTGCGTATAAATATATGTTGCTTTTTTTTTTTACAAATCGCTAAATTTATCAAAATTACAGCTTTCAGAATGTGTGACAAAAAAATCGTTCTTTGCAAACTGTTGCATTGTTTGTATGCGCAACAACTTTCATTACAACCTAATAGGTGGTCGAACTACATCATGAACCTTTGTCACTCGAGGCTCAGTATAATGCTTGCCGGGCTCAAGCCTGTAGCCCAGGATTGCGAACATTAGATGCTCTTGGGTCAGCTCAAACCGTGACCCCATTAAGTTGGGATAAGTGTTTCCGAAAAATGTATCTGTGTATGAATTGGCTCTCGATAAAGGGTTTAAATACATAATCTGGTGTCACACTGATTATATTCATGATTATTGTCATATATACTAAATAGTGTTACTGAAATTTATATTGTTATTGCAGCCATCACCAAGTTACCAGAGCTGAATCCCCGAGCGATTCGTGAAGGCCTGGTTTCCCGCTGTGCCAATATCCTTGCTTGTTACAGGAGGAATTGTGCAAGCCCATCATCTGCAGGGCAGTTGATATTGCCAGAGGGCCTCAAGCTCCTACCACTGTACATCAACTGCCTGTCCAAAAGTGATGCCCTGTCAGGAGGTTGGTGCTATATGATATCAAATATGTAGGATTCTTTTGGAAGGTTTTAGTATAGGAATGCTTTACTCTGCCTCGCTGTTCAGGCTCAGAGATGATGACTGACGACCGATCGTGGATGATGCAGCTGGTACTGGCTATGGATGTTCCCTCCACTGTGGGGTACTTCTATCCTCGTCTCCTCCCTCTTCATGATCTGTCATCCAGTGAACCTGAAGGAGATGCACCCATCAAACCCCCCAAGCAAATGCGATGCCTCATTGAAAAGCTTCATGATAATGGAGCCTATCTCCTAGGTATCTCCCCACTTAGTCCTCCCTGTTTTTACACTTGAGATGCATTCAAAAAAGTAATATGACTAATTTTTCACATGTGCCTGCCTTTTAAAGGGAAATACTCCTATTTGCGCCCTGTGTTTGCTACGTGTCAATATGCCCCCAAAGGCTTTTGTGTGTTTACAAGCTTGTGTGGGCAAATATTTTCCTGGAAGGCTCAGGGTTCAGCTTTTTCCCAGTATGTTGAACATGGATCCCAAGATGGAATTTTGGTGGCGATAAGTATGGAGTTGGACAATTTGGCATTGTTTATTTTACAGAAGTCAACAATTGAAACTTTTGAATGCACCCTGCATATAAGGATCATTTCTTCTCTCCAACATTGCTCTCTTGCATCAGAAAATACCAGACTTAGTGAATGTAATCACTAAACGGCCCTGATTCATGCTTTTTTGATTTAGCAAATTGAGAAGCTTTTCAAGAAAGAGGAAACAGGAGACCAGCTGCAGACTGTTATTTAGTGCATGAATATCATCCAGGAGAGGGGAGACTCCCGAAGAATTTTATAAAGGATTAATTGCCACTGTCGGTCATGTTTGACTGCTATTGCTCAACATAATTGAGGCCAGGTTAGGAAAACTCTCATGAACGAGGTACGCAGGAACGGAGGTGCTTGGGTGGGTGGGGTCAGCCCAGCCTGCTTAGTCTTCTTGCATATCCTTCCTGGGAAATACAGATTTGTCACCTCAGGTTTGTGGGGGAAAAATATATTTCCTACATGTTTCATTCTCAGCATTCCACCATGAATGCAAAAATATATTGCCATGTCAACGTGATTTTGGGCTTTTTCAAATAGTGAGCCAGAAATGGAACCAAGATTCCCCACATTGCAAAATAAGTGTTAATAGAAACAATGGAAGGCCATGGAACCTTCCATAGTGAACTCATAATATATAGTATTCTCTTTTGACAGTAAAATTGAAGAAGAATCCATTGGCTTTCATTGCAAGTTGTCATTTTGTCATATTTTCTGTTTTAGTGCATTATGTCTCATTGAATGTGATACTAGTTTCAGGTTTTGACCTGCCTTTAGCTTGAAATTCTTCAATTTTATTTTACCCATTCCTTGATGTTTTGCACTATTTTTTCAGAGAATGGAAACTACCTATTCCTGTGGGTGGGTCTCAATGTGAATCCAGAATGGGTTCTCAATGTGTTTGGGGTCCAGAGCCCAGCTCAGATCAACATAGAACGCAATGTCCTTCCTGTGCTTGACAATCCCCTCTCTCGCAAGGTCCATGCTATCATTGATCTCATTCAAAGCCAACGGCCCCGACACATGCGGGTCAGTTTTTTCTCCTGACTTTCCTCATTTGGAATATCTTCCTTGTTCTTTTTTTTTTGTCTCATTGTGTGCAGTGTGTAACTTTTTTTTCTTCTCTTTCATGCAGCTCACAATTGTAAGGCAACGAGACAAGATGGAGATGGTGTTCCGGCATTTCTTGGTGGAAGATCGAGGTTCTGATGCATCGCCGTCATATGTAGACTTTCTGTGTCACATTCACAAGGAAGTGCGGAGCCTCCTCTCATGAATGGCAGCCCTCTCCCAGCATTTGTTCCCCCTTCTGTCTCAATTATTATTCACGGAATATTTAAGAGGAAAAAAGGAAATAAGAAAAGTCAAGAGTTTATGGTGGAAGATGGCTTTACTTTCATTGATTGAATTTTATTTCTTTTTTCTTTTCATGTGGTGTAAATAGATTCTAGAAAGAGGGTTTTTATTATCCTCACAGTGAATCCTGTGGTTCTCCTATGAAGTGATGAAGTTTATGAAGATATTTGTCTGCTCAGAATTGTGGTAATCTCTCACTCCTTCACATTCACTTTCCTCTATTCTTCATTCCCCCTTCCTTCCCTTGCAACAGATGAAGCGAGAGAATAAACAACAAAGAAATAAAGGTCATATATATTTTGAGATTTGAACTTCAACCTAGTGTTGGTTCATTGTGTTCACTAAGTTTTATTCTCAGGTCCCCCTCACCTGTGAGTTCAGGTTGGGCTGGTGGGGTCCTACATTGTTGCACTTGAACCTCGTTATTGAGAATCATAAGGAAAGCTCTTGTAGGTGAGCAGAAGTGAAGCAATACAAGTCTGTACCTACATGCTGACTGGCAGAGCTCTTGCCAAATTGCATGACTGGAATGGGAAGTTTTATTTTTGTCTGAAGGGATATCGGTGTATTTTTTAAATCATCAAATAGTGTTCATTTTTAAGTGACATTCTCTGAAGTACTTTGAAGCAGTATTGATGTACCACTACAGTGATTTAATCCAGTTGTAGGGGAAGGAATTGTTGCAAGGCTTTCTTTGCTTGTGAAGCAGTAGTAGAATGCTGGGATGCAGGGTGACCCTCATCCTTGGCCTTTTGGCTCTCCTATTGTGTCACGTTCATGCAGAGAACAAATATTCTGAAGAAGCCAATACATATTACAATGTGGATGCTCAAAAACCATTTCGAATGGGGAAACTCAACCTGCTGTGGAACAAAGCCAAGCAGGTATGTTCGATCAGTGCTCTCCACTAATGAATATGGCTGTGAGAAAGCAGAAAATTGTTAATTTCTTGCATGTTTAGCGATTGGGGAAGGGGAAGCTGAAAGATTTAATGGGTGAACTGCAAGTCCAGGACAAGGAGGAATTGACCCTGAAGAAGTTAAAGTCTGAAGGAGGGGACAAGGATGGCATGAAAGAGGCCAAGCTACGTAGAAAACTTCATGGTAACTGCCACTTGTACTTTGCAGTCTTGGTCACCAAACAGTAATTTGAGAACAAGATAGATCAAAGGGTTGATAAACTTGGTGGTCACTAGTTCAGGTCTTTTATTGTTGTAGAGACGATGAAGAAATACAGCCTGGTGGAACATTTTGAAAACACAACAGACCTTGGAGTCAGTCCTGATGATGCAACACATGCCAATGTAGATGTCCATATCTTCAAGGACAAGAAACTCCAGCGTCTCTGGCACAAAGGTCTTTATTCCACTTGCTCTCTCAATACTATAATTTTGCTGTTATGAATTTTGTCATCTTGCAATCTTCCTTCAACTTACACTTTGAATATCATTTGAATAGCTGCTCAGTCTGAGTTCAGTGAGTCAGAGCTGATGAAACTAAAGGAGGAATTCTTGCATCATGAGGAAAAGCAGAATGAATATCATGAACTCATTGAGAGCACAGGGCAAGATGCCAATCGCCTGGACAATGAAATCGACCTTGATCTTGATGGAGCATCTCATGATGATCTCATTCGGTCTGGTTTTATCAATATTCTACATCTGATTCTTTAATAGCACTCCTCTTGTGAATAGGATTGCTACTTGTGAGAATGCAATTTGAACAATGTTGAAGACTCTATTTGTCTTCCTCACAGGAATAAGCATAAAGACTTGAAGGAAGATTTCCAGAGATTACAGAAGTTAGCAGGAGGTGGAGACCCTGGCATAAAAGAATTTCAAGATCCTAAAGTGCTGAGATTGTGGAAGCTGGCCCTCCAAGCCAGTTTTACGCCAGAAGAGCTGGAGAGCTTGAGGGTAAGTTCATCCTTTATCTTTGTGCATCATTTTTTTCATTTTTCACTCCACAATGTGGACTCAATCTGAATTTACTCAACAGGTGGAGCTGCAGCACTTTGATAATAGAATTGTGAAGCTGCATTACTTGGAGGCTGAGGTGGCCTCAAAGGACAAGAAGCTTGGAATCGGAGAGAAGCCCGAAGAGGTGACATCTCGCCTGGAGGAGAATCTTCAGAAGGTTCGCCGAAATGTGGACAAGCTCCACGATGACCTGGAGTCTCGCATCATCACCCGACACCTCGAGCTTTAACTCTGAGCCTTTCGTTTCTCAGTGTTCTCTCCAACCTGTGATAGGCGCCCAATCATGTCTGATGCAAATCCTTATTGGAGTCTTCTTTCTTGGGATCTCCTGGCCCCTGGGAGAGAGAACTTAGTGTCAGTGTCCCAAGCATCCTTGGTTGTTGAATACATCTCCACATACAGTGATCTCTGCCATATTTTCTTGTGACTTGGGTCTCATCTTTTGTTCCTTGACATATTGCTTTAATATCCAGTGGAAACAAGCGATCAAATTACCATTTGTTATCATAGCATGTGAATGCTGTTTCCTCTCTGGTGCTGGAGATGGAGAGAAGCAATTTTCATGTGCAGATTTAGCCATTCTGCATTAAGACCAGCTTATAAGTCTTTTGTGGTACCTCCATGGTCATTCACAAGATGATTTGTCTGATTGGTTCTTGGAAGGGTGCAATCTGTTGCTCTGCTGCTCTGCTGAGAAGAGCTGCTGGACTTAATGCACAGATGCACAAAGAGCAGCAATTGAAGATGACTGGAACATGCTTCCAACCTTCATACAGTGTTGAGGGCATGAGGCTCCTCTTTGGAGCTTGTTGTGTTGCTTGCCTGTGTTTTAACATGTTCACATTTCCATCTTGCCTCTACTGATCTCTGCCAAGTCTGGGTTTTGGAGGAGCTCATGAACCATCCAAGGCCTCTTTGCACATTCCACTGCATGCAGAACCATGGAAGATCTTTTGGATAGTTCTGGAGTGCATGGTTGTGGGATGGATTTTACATGTTCTCACTTGGGCATTTCCCAAATACTAACTTTTTATGAATGAGATCCAGCCAATTTTTATATTTAAGAATAAAATATAAAGAAAAATAAGCATCAAACTCAGGACCTGTGTTATACAGGTGCTGATGACGTTTGGGTGGCTGTTGGACAAGGAAAAAAAAGTGATTTATCCTAGAAGAATCTACTTAAGGGCATGAGAGCATGGACATGAGCATCATGCTGGGGGAGCCCGTCTCCCGATTCCTCAATTGTCCCTCATCCTTCTGAATCAGATCTAGAGTCCTCCATGCGTCTGTCCACATTCCCTCATGGATCCCTTACTCTGCTTTCGTTCCCCCCTCCGTTTGGCAGATACCCTCGAGGAACACGTGGAACATGTTTGAGAGACCGTGTAGGTGTTACCTGAGGTTGCACGCTTTCCAGAATGGCCCACGTTGCGGCAGACGACAGTCGGGGTCCTTGCGTGTCTCTGTTGGATGTCCCTCGTGAGATTCTCGTTGCCATCTTCGAATACCTCGACGTCGAGAGCCTGAGCCGCTTGGCACGGACTTGTCGGACGCTGAGAGATGTCGCGTCGTCGGACGTGGTGTGGCGTGGACGCGCGCCCCTGCTCGTCTCGCTTATCTCTTCCTTCAATCGGCGGTGGATCCAGAGGTTCCCGGCCCTCGCGGCTTTCCCCATCTCGGTACCTGAAAAAAAAAGCAGCGTCTGATGTTCTGTTTTCATCGTTCAAACGCTAGGTCCAGACGTAGACTCGGTGGGAAGGACCTGGCTCGACTCTGTCAGCACTGGGAATGGGGGAGATGCTCCGTCCGCCTCGTCATCCCTTTCCCTACCAAGTTCGAAGAGTTCTCGGTCTCGCGTGACCCGTTGGAGGAGACACGGAGATTATGTACTTTTTTGTTATATTTTTTTTTTTAGGTATATGCCCTGGTTGTGCATCTCTCAAGAGAGATTATGGATAAGCAAAGGCTGCAACATAATCTGTTACCACCGTTCTCGGATCGACAGTGGGGCGTCGTCGTCTTCCCCGAAGCCCCTTTACATCCTGAAGGGACACATCGAGGACATTGCTCGCTTCGTCCATCGGGATCGGCTCATCCTCAGCGGCGGGAGGTCCGACCGTCTCCTTCGTTTCCTATCGTTCCGTCGCGATTTTTATGAACGTGTCGTCGTCTGGAATCTCTCGCAGGGACGGAGGCATCTGCGGGTGGGAGGCAGACACGGGTCGTTTCGTCTTCTCTCGCCACTTCGCCCACAATCTGGACGTTCAGTCGGTGGATCTCCGGCGACAGACCCTCGTCTCCGGGGGCAAAGGCAAAATCCTCAAGGTCGAGAATCCTCTGTCGTTTCGTTTACGTGCGTGGCATCAGCGAGAAAACCCCTATTTCCGTCGGCGCGTGCCCGATAGGTGTGGAACCTGAACGGGGTGCACCTGCACGTGCGGCAGAGCCTGGACCTGAGGGATCGCATCTGGAAGTGTCTCTTGGACGAGACGGGGGAGAAGTGCGCCTTGGGGTTGGCTTGCACGCACTCGCCGCATCCTCTCGTTCTCGTCGACACGAACCGGTTCGATTTGCGTTCGCTCGCTACACGCCACCGATTCATGACCAGTACTTCTTTTCATCTTACATGTTTCTTTTGACAACAAATAAGATTACTCATTTTCTTCGTGCTCCATCGCGTCCTGCACTGTTATAAGTGCATATGGAAGGAAACGCACGTAGATTTTGAATTCCTTTCAATACGAGAGTGAAGTGCTTGACCGTCTTGATCTACAGTATCTGTGTAGAAAGCTGTTCTGTAAAGTTGCGTCTCTGAAAGTACCAGGCAACTACAAGTGCAGAATTCGATTCAGGATGCAGACAATTTCTACTTGCTCTGCCGTCTATTTCTGAAGCCATCTTAGGGCAGTTTGTGGTTTTTGGTTTTTGTGCGACCCATCGTTGTTTCGTTCTTAAACCGATGGTTGGATGGGGAATTGCAGGGGGGAAGTGGCATGGCAGGAGGAGAGTCTGGAGTCTCGTCGCGGTGCCGGGATTCTGGACATAGTCTGGGAAGACCCCCACACCCTCCTCTCCTGCGGCTACGACTCCACCGTCCGCCTCACCGATCTCAGGTACTGCACTCACTCTACCCGTTGCCCCCCGCTCGTGACACGTGGGCCTGACCTCGTCTCGCTTCAGGGTGGGAGGTCACGTGTCGGTGTGGGAGGATCCGTTCGACTCGGCGCTCTTCTCCCTGGATTCAAGTCGAGCGAATCTCTTCGTGACCGGCGCTGCCTTGAACGGGATCGTCCGGGTCTGGGACAAGCGCTCCTCGAAGCATCTCCAGGTCTCTGTACGTTCCCATTCTCTAACGTAATTCAAGACGACGAAGTTGAATTTTTTTTTCTCTCTCTTCTCGAAGATGTTTTACATGCCGAGCCGTCACTCGACACCGGTGTACAGCGTGGCTTGCGACCCCACCGTCGTCTATGCTGCAATCGACCAGGGTCTGTGTCTGCTGGACTTCTACCAACACTTCTGAGGAGACGAAACAAATGTGCTATTCTGTGATGCTTCTCATTTTCTCTGGAAGGATTCTCTCCAAAGATGCAAATAATAAAAAAAACGATGCTTCTCGAATCGCTTCCTTCATTTCCCTATTCACACTTATGCGATGCGTTACGTAAGTTACGTAACGTAACTTTGGTGCATTAAGTACTTCTAAGGCTTGGGGTCTAAGTAACGCCAAAACTGTCTACTTGTCAGGTGAGAAATTTGTTCCAAGTTCAGATTAGGGATATTTAACCGCGGTACATTTGTGAACTTTCCATATCAGCGGAATATATATATTTGAAATTGCAGGTCGCACCTTATGCGGGAGATCTGTGAATGTATTATGCGACTTTGCAAACTTAGCATATCGTTTTTTGTTGATCATGCAATAGGAGAGTCAGACCCAATGGCGTAGCCAGGGCTAAGCGGAACGGTGGGGGGTTTACTTCTCGCCCTGTAGGAGGAGGGGGGGGGGTGTCGCGGATGCATTTAGACCGGAGTTGGGGGGGGCTGAAGTCCCCCCCTCTCTACGCCACTGGTCAGACCACCGACACGTTGCCTCATATGATCACAGAATAGCATGCTGCGTTGGTTACTGTTACTCTGATCGTGGACTTGATGGCTGCCATACGAGCCTACTGCTCAGAAATGGAGTTGTGCAATGATTCCTACAAACCACTGGCTCTGAAAGTGGCTTGCATGCAGAAGTTAGAAGCAACAGACAGAATGCAGGATATTCAGAAGCCTGGGCGACCGATAGACGTGGACTCAATCCCACCTGTAAATAAAACCCAATGCAGGCACCAAATGATGAAGCAAATCCATGCAGCCGTTACACTGTCATTGCAATTTTAAGTCTATCCCTTAATTTATATTATATATTAAGTCCCTTGGAAGGGAGGGAATGCGAAGTGCAAGTAAAAAACGAGATCGGATTCAATTCCTCTTTATCCTCCCACTTGTCATTTCCCCTTTCTGATTTTCGACGAAACGACCACTTAAGGCTCGTCCGGTAGCAAAATTTTGGGAGCCCTCATAGGGTCGAGAGGATTTCACATCCAAATGATGTCGGTCGATGGATGAAAGGAATAATTTTTTAGTATGAGTTTGCTGGTTTAAAAAAACCCGTCAGGTTCACTTCACACGTCGACGTGCAAATAGTTATTCGGGATGGGAAGATTTCTCCCCGCTCGCAACCTGAGTGAATTCGAAACTCACACCACGCCACTTGGCAGCATGAGTCGCGTTGAGAAATCGAGTGACAAATGATGACGGATTGGAATTTCCCGTCTCGCGAGGGCGAGGACGACGTCGGACGCGGTTCCAGTCGCTTGCATGCTCCGATCGCGACGAGAGGCTCGCTTCGGAGCTGGGGAGCTCTAACGTTCGAAAGGTACGGCTCATTTCACTCTCTCCGTTTCGGAGAGAGTGAAATGGGGTTTCATCGGGGAGGTTACACTCTTCTCGCGAAACGGTCATGGTGAGTGGTGAAATTTCCATCATCCCAAAACGAATTTATGGAATTTCCAATTTTTTAATCAAAATTCCTCTCGAGGGGAAGAGGTTTAAACGTGGATGCCCAACCGAATCTCCCAAAAAAAATATTGCATCCCAAGAGAAGGTGAAAAGTTAAAGCTTGGTAGGATTTAGCCCTGCAACATGTCGCTGAGGCTCGTGCCCTCGCGAACTCATTCGTCTCGAGGCAGGAAGACATCCGAGATGTAAATGCCGAGGATCGCTCATGCAAACAACACTTCGCGAACGAACGAGCCGATGAAACGTACCGAGGAAAGAAACGAAACAGGAAGAGGAGACCGTCTTCGATACGTTCCCCTTCTGGATTCTCCCAATTCGCCTAGCATAACCCCATTTTCCTTCAGTCGCCCTCGAACGAATCTCTTCTCTTCCTTCTCGGGCGGCAAAAAAAGAAAAGAAAGAGAGACGTGGTCTGCTTCACCGCACTAAAAATAAACAGAACCGGCAGCCCGTCATCGCAGCTGACGAAACTCCGGCTCCGCGATCCCTTAATGAACCCGCACGATCGAACTTCATCGACGTCACCCATTTCGGCCTCGTGGAAACATCGATCGGTCCGGTCTTCGAGACCGCGTCGTCGAACGTTAATGCGTCCGTCGCCGACGTGCGAGACGCGCAGCGGAGACCTCTGTCCCGGCGGTCGAAACGCGGTCGGTTGTCAGCGGGTCCAGAAGGTGTCGCCTCGATCGGGCTCGGGAATCCCTGGGAATGCCCGGGAGCCTGCGTCCGTGTCCCTCGACCGCCCACTGTCATTAAAAGTGCGAAGGTCTCCTGCCTTTTCTGCCTTTTGGGGGTCTTATGAAATGTCTCTTGCAATCGGTTCCTAGTAACTACTGCCCTTAAAAGAAAAGAAGCGGTCGTTGCGGAATACTGAGCAGATCTGAACGGGCGCGGTCGGCATGGATTGGTCTGTGAAGCGCTTGATGTTTAGTGGGGAGACATCTGTGGTTTGATTAGTTCGATAAAGGTGTCACTATGTCGGCATCTTCGCGGCTTCTGCAATGTAAAATCAATTTAACGAAGTTTGAGAACTGCAGCAGCAAACATCCGAGTTTTTCAAGAGCAAGACTAATTGCGTCGATATCAATTTCAATTTTTAGCCATTTTTGCGATAATGCTGGTATAATTATATATTACATATATTTCAAAATAAACATATTCCTGGTGGAATGCTCTTTGCAAGTCTGCAACAAAACGAATTAAAACTAATGGAGTTATCCAGTAAATTTCCAATCCCTGTAAAATTATTATGAAATGGCGTTCTGTTTGCAAAAAATGAGCAATTTTCCAAGTATTTGACAACCCTGTGAACTGAGACGGACGCTATTGATTGCACAAAGATTACACCACGAAGATATTTGATATTTTCTGTTGCTGCTCGATAAAGAATGGATGCCCGAATGGGCTTTTTGGTCCTCTTTCCGAATTCTACTCTTTTACTGAGATATCATTGCTCCTCTACGCCATTACGGGTGAGAGGGATGCTTGGGTGAATTACGCAAAAAAAAAGTGAAGCATAAAGGACCGTGCAAAAGTTTCCCCGGAAAAGAGGCAAACTCACGTTTCGCCTTCTCCCCCCCCCCCCTACCCCTCATCCCCCCTCGAAACTCAAGCATTCTCGCTGCTCTTCTTCTCTATGCTAGTATTTTATCATCTGCGTAATTAGTCTGGCGTAATTAAGTAATTAGGTACCAGTAATTAGCATATTTTTCCCATGAGCCCAACAAATATTCCAAAAAAGTTAGACAGGAAGTTTTCGCAGAAACGAATATGCGTATGGACTGTCAGGGTAAATAAAATAGCTCATTCCCAATGAAGGAAAAATTGAAGCAATAAATGAGACTAAGACGCATTCCGCCTTCTGCAGAATGCGTTCTGCTTAGCAATTGCGCCTTTACATTTTCCGACATTCATAGAAATGAGTCCTTACAACCTTATTTGTGAAAAAGTGTTTTTGAAGGTTTTGGGTCTGTGGAAAAATGTTTATTTTTATGATAATTAATGACATTTACATGCTTAATTACGCGTAATTAACTGTGCCATGAAATAGAGTTTTTCCTAAGTACGTATTAAGATACGCGAAGGAAGATGAGGAGAAGTCGCAGTTGCACTTGAGCACCACTTAGAACCAAGTTGGAACTCGGATCATCGTGGTACCAGGTGGTGCAGCATGTGAAACAGTAACGAACCGGCAATGAAACAGAAATCGGAAGACCCAAATTTCTCAAATTCATATCATTCATATAATTTCTCAGATTTATTTTCATACGCGAAGCAGTGCGACTGGGGGAAAAGCTTGAGTGTCGCCTTGAATGGATGGAACAATCTGGATTCGTGTGGTTGCAACGATTCGTCACCGAGCGAAACGCATTTTCGAAAATGGTTCCGCGAATGCAGCGAAACTTTCCTGTGATTTCGCAGTCGTTGCCGGTTGTTACGGCGGCAAAACGACTCGGAGAGAAGCGCCCACCAAAAGCACAAGCGAACTCCGAATTTCATTCGGATACCGTCTCGAAGCCTCATCGCGACCGGGCCGACAGCGGAAACTTTCCTCGAGAAGATGGAGACGACCGAAATTCGTGTCGCTCCCCTTTCGGCCCCCGGCCCCCCCCCCCCCGTCGAGTTTCCCATGGCCGGAGGGGATAAATGGACTCAGGTTCGCCGAGAAATGTGGGAGAAGATACCCCGAATGCACTCGAGGAAGGAAACCGAGACGCAGGAGCACGAAATCGAGCCCCGTGTAGATGGATGAAAAAATGAATCACCCCCTGGAGATGTTATTTTCGTTCATCGCGATCGAACGACCCCCCGTGATCGGAGAGGAAATCCGAGTCGGCAATACTTCAGTGGTTCAAGTTTCAAGATTCAAGATAGTTAGTGATATCAAGAGGAACTGTCGCAGTATTATAGGAGGCGGGCTACTTTTAAGTGGCCCACCCTGTAGATGCGGAAAGCGAGAGGCTGACGAGCCCAGAGGGGAGGGGGGGAGCGGGGGGATTAGGACGAAACTGACGAGTGGGAGGGGGACTTGCCCGAGCTAAAAGCAAAAATATATTCTGGCCTAATGCTGAAACCTCCTTTAGTTAACGATCCTTAAGAATTCGTGAACTCGTGGAGAACGTGGACGTGGAGAAAAATACCTCATTAGCTTAGGGTAAAGGAGCATGAGGTCCCTTTATCTCCCCTAAATGAGGTTCGTGCTTCGGGTTTACATGTTTCTTTACTCTTTTAGCGAACGCTGAATAGACGATCGGAATGCGGGACGGTTGGTCGCCCTAAACGGCTCGTGGGTCGCCGAGACCCACGACCGGCAACAACGATTTTTAACGTGTGCTGCACCCCTACTGCCTGCAGTGGATCGCCGGGCGGCATGCCTGTCACCTGATGTCACCTGGTATGACAAGGTGTGACCTCCAGCCCCTAGAGGGCAGTTCCGGTCGGTGAAGGCGCGCCGATACTGGAACCAATCGGCAGCCGAATCCACGGCCAAGGGGGGGGAGTGGGCGGGCAAGGGGGTGGGGTCATGAGAGGCAGTGATATCCTCGTTCCCC